CAAGTATTATATTATATATATTTCATTTACATCGCGAACTACAACAAAGCTTGGTTGTTCGCGGTGAAACAGTCGCTTGAAGTCGATACAACTTCAACTAGCCATTTCTCACCTGGAAATCACAAAAATTCCAAGAGCATCGGGGAATATAATAATAACCATTTTTAGCAATCGCTAGATTTATTTTATCCGAATACATGAAATGCACGAGATTTTCGACATTTATTGGCAACTTCCGCGCTGAAAATGGTTGAAAATGTGGGTGTGGTGCTCTCGCAAAATCCTGTTGATAATACGGACAAATATGGTTCTGTGACCCAGGTCGTGTTCCGATCAAGTGACTTTCAGCAAATCAATGATGTTGTAACAAAGCATATTTGACGCTGTCGTCGTATCGTCCAATCTCCGGCTTCGATTCACATAATTTTGTTTGTTCTGTGACAGGCTTCAAAATTATTCACTAAAATACGTCGGTATATTTTGACTAATGGAGGGGATTTGACCTCAGTTCCGAAAGAGGAAAAACTAAGCCGAGTCCACGGCGAATTAGTTTTCTTTGTTAATTGTGAAATAAGGTAACCCAGAGTAGGGTCGATGATTTTCAGCCCTGATTTTCAAATTGTTCGTCTGGCCACCAAATATTTATGGCTATAACTAAATTTGACACGTTTTTTTTTCTGATTTATTCATTTATGTTAAGCTCTGTTCTATTTTTTCAGAGATTGTGGCCGTTATAGTCAAAATATTTTTTGTGGGAACACTTTTACGGTACATATAGATCGAGCTCATTCACTGATCGTGACTTAATTTTGAATATTTAATGTCAAATTATACCAGACCGACCGCCTGTGGACCGACGTGGTTTTGGTATCATTATTTTAGGAATTAATCATTAACATTTTCCTCGTTTCTCTGCTCTGTCGAAAGACGTTACCTATGCCCTTTTCACGTAACTGTCTCATTAAAATAAAATATTACATTTAGAAAAAGCACCGAAAACACATAACAAGAGGTCCCAGTTAAGTTGCTTTGACGATTGAGTGTCATGCAACTATTAGATTTGAAAAACCACAATTTCGACAACTTGTGTGTGATCAGTGTTTTGGCGAGCAGTCAATGTTTTCAATGAGCGAGCGAGTGAAAAAAAGAGCGATTAAAATGCTGTGGGTTTCTGGTCGGAAATCAAGCATTAAGCTGTGGGTGTAAAAGTGGATGGCTGGTCGAAATGAGTACCGTAATTACATAAACTTTCTAGTATTGATATGCAAATCGGATCTTTCATCAAGTGTCAATTAGGATTACTTTCATGCGAGTGTTGTGCTTGTGTTGGTGGTGTTTATAAACAATCACACGTGGCAATGTTTTGAAATAGAAAAAACGTCGAAATATGCCTTATAAAATGGAGTTTTTGTTTAGAAAAAAAGCACAGTCATAGATACTGTCATAACCACCAATAATTTAAAATAAAAAAAATATTGAAAAAAAACACATTAAACGTATGCTAACCCCTTAAAGGCAAATTCAAGAATTATAAAAAAAGAAAATCTATGTTAAAAACAAAATTTTGAAAAATTTATCATACATCTTTTATTGTTCATTTGTACTACATAGTACCGTACTGAACTGCGTTAGGGGTGGGCACTTACCCGAGCACCCCCTTGGAAAAGAGTGCAAATGACAATTTTAGTTCACCATGTGACAGATTGAAGGGGATATTACGTCTTTGTGGGAAAATAAAATTAAGAAATTAGTTGTGTTGTCATTAACATTTACAATGAAGAAACAAAAATACACATTTTATTACAATATTAGTTACACCTTTTGCTAGGTTAAAAGTATGTTGAGTCTGTTGGAACACGGTCACAGTCAAAGTCCAAATCTTCATCATTATCTCCATTGACGAATGTGTTAGAAGAACTTTCTGCCATGATGTTTTCTTGCATGATTTGAGCTGCAACAACTTCCTTTGACCTAATGGGTCAAGTCTGTTATTAACCAATCAGAATGCTGTGTTGTACCAACGCAACTCTTCGTAAATTCCTAAAGATTTTCTGGTAACGCAATGCGGAAGTCAATTATCGATATCATGGTACGATCTGTTAGATTTTGGCGAATATACAGCATGGCTTTATCCAAAACTAATAACTACCCCGGTATATATAGGTGAACTGAATATGGCATGAACTATTTATTGTCAAAATGTAGTTTACACATGGTTACCGTGGTCTACACATTCACAACATCCTTGAGGTGGTCGATATTCTCGCTGTATCGTATAAAAACGATTACCAGTATTCGTTAAGTGATGATCTATGTTTTATAATTAGACAGTCAAATTAGTTGCATTTTGAAGTGGATTGACGCTAAGCTGAGCGTGAACCCGAAAATAGAAATGTCCCAAAGGGGTGGGGGGGGGGACTTAGCCGAGCATGGGCGCTGCGCCGGCCGAGTATGGTACATTTATACTGTAACAATTTAATCTCCCATAACTGTAATCAGTATGAAAGCTACACCAACCCTGCAAGAGCAGCTTGTTTGTTCAGTTTTTTTTTTAAGTTTCTCCTTGTGTATATGCTTGGACTCGCTGTACAACTCAAATTCTACAACTAATTCTAGTCTGTTCATGCTTCTGATGTGGTTTCCACTGCCTGCATTTTGTTGTTCCAAAGAAGTAAATATCCTGCTTGTATGAAATTAGATTTTAAATATACATTTGACCAAAGTACTTTTTTTGTGGAATTAGTTTCAGTGATAATAGTTGTCATTGCTGTTTAAGTTATTGAGCTGCATTATCAATGCATAAAGTTGTTGTATTTACCATAATGTGAATATTGTGTTTGATTTTTTTCTTTTCAGACCAGGTTATCAAAAATTTTAATGATTAAAAAAAGACCACATACAGCAACTAAAAGATTTGAACACACAAGCAGAAAGATGGTAAGTTGGTTCAATCTGCTGTTTATTCTTATAAAAAAGGACTGAAGATCTGTTTATTATTTCAAATTGTGATTTTTGTTTTTAATTACAGAAATCTTACCAGGAACCTATCAGTTCAGAATTTCAACGGAAATATGCAAATGTTGTGTTAGAGTTGGAGAGATTGAATGCTGATTTAAATAGTTATCTTATTGGTGCTCAACAGTATTGTCAAGAGGTAAATTCTTGTTTGTCCAAATCATTTCAGTGTGTCTGAATATATAAATATGTTTCTATAGAGTATCTCACCTAATAATGTGAGATATCCTATACTGTAACCTTCTCATACATGAAATAAGTTTATTTTCACTGATATCATGGAATATACATGTATTCGAAGACCAAGCAAGTTAGTTGAAAAAACAAGGTAGAACAAGGGGAACAAAGTCAAATGTTTTAGTTACCCTTCTTTTTCAGTGATACAGAAATTCATATTTTTACTTAATTTATGGTGATCATATCAATTGATACAAGTCGATGTGATCCTGTACTTTCTGAGTGCATATTTTCAGGTAATCTGATAACCTTATTGTTATCCCGACACATATTGCACTCAATTTTTGGTTTATATGTGGTGCTGTTAGACTCACTCCTAATAAGGATTAACGGTATAAATTCAATCTGACTGACTTTGCAAACAGATTAACCATCAAAGATTCAAAATAAAAATAAAGTATATTCCTGTAATTATTTATTTTCTGTTTTGCTAGATTGCTCCAGAACAAGGATTACAGCCAATAGATCAGTCGTCTGAATTAAGGAGAAAATGTGATGATGAAGCTATAGAATTGGTTTCACAAGCAAATGCAACACTAGCTCCAAAAAGTGTTAGAAGTCAGTCCTTGACAAAACTAGTTTCTGTATTGATATCATTGATGTTGCAGATAAAGGTACATTTTTCTTTATTAATATTATGTTAGTATTCATAGTCGGGTTGTTATTTTGAATACATGTACTGTCTACATAAACTGTTTTAATTCCAAGAGCGATGAAAATTCTTCAAGTCTGTGAAAATCATAACATGGTGTCCTACCATACTGAGTTGTCGGTAACTTTCACAAAATTTGCTTTTATGAATGCCATATAATCAAGAACTTTTCCAGCATTAAAATTAAACAGTTTACATTAGGTTGATAAGTGAATCTCACTGTTGATATTTTGTGTTGTGCTTAGTAGATTGGTACATTAGTGCATCGAACACCCTGACTATTGAAAACAGCTGGTGGCAAAAATATCTCTTAACAGTAACCTGAGTACCACTGTGTTAATTTTATTATCCTTATTCTCATATAATTACATAGTTACTAATTAATGTCCCAAGCACAATGTTCTACTATGTATTATAACATTACTACCACAATTTTTTGAATGATTAAATTTATGTAAATGCACATACATTTGTGTTATTTATTAACAACGAAACTGCACCTACAAGTTTTATAAACTACCATAAGTTTATCAAAATTTACATAAACAATATCATTTCAAGAATTGTGGTAACAAAAAGAAATTACAATTCAACTGTTAGAATTCAGTTGTGAATTGAAACACCTTGAGTAGCACTCAAATTTGACTCGATAGGTTATCAACAACATTTGGCTCTATGGATCAGTAATGAGCCTGAAGCACTATGTACATGATACCTGTAAATACCTTTGTGTAGCTCTGTGATAGCAATATGCTTGCTTAAATCATGAATGTATTTGAAACAAAGTTTTTTTTTTCATAGACATTGGCTGAAAGTGATTTGAATTCTTTTGAACTCAAATCGTTAACAGATTCTTTAGATGAAATAAAAAAGAGAATAGATGTATCCAATTATAGGTGAGTATTATTGCACCATAAATGATACATAATATTATACATATGCCCATCGATTTGTTTAAAGGTCTGATTCAAAATGGCCAAATAGCGGCCATTTTTGTACTGAAAGATCATCAAATTCAAGTATTCAGGAATCGGATCTTGGTTGTTTATGGAAGGACTTCAATCTTAGTACATATATTCTATATTATTAGTCCTTGATGCCTGTTATTTTGTTTTCCAGATCGAATTTATAATGGCTGACTGGTGGCCATTTTGTTTTAATAAATGCGGTTCTAGACCCATATCTCTGATATGCTTTGGCTGATTATGATCAAATTTTATATATTCATTATACATTATGTCATACAGATGTATTCAAAATGGCCGACCATTGGCCATTTTGATTTAATTAATGCTGATCCAGAGCAATACAGGATGACTAAATGCAAACCATTTTAATGTTAAATCATTATAATTAAGCATCAAATTCTTGATCCATATAACTGACATGTTTTATATTTCAACTATATTACTATAAACAAAACTATATATCTTAAATTTGATAACTAACATGGAATGAAAGGTCTTATCCCTCAGACAAACATACAAACTTCAAAGACAAACAAAACCTTCCAACTCAGTGTCTATAGTTCATAAATCTAGCTTGATTTAAACGGTTACTTAAAAAGACTAACCATGATTTAAGAGCCCTGCTTGAATTCATGTTCAGCATAATGTTGATAAAAAATATGGTGAGGTACAGTGATAGTGGTATGCTGGCTATTTTCAAAAGTGCTTCAAAAATTTATACCGGTATATTTGTGAAATTTAATTTCCTGCATTCTACAAGTATTTTTTCTATTTCTCTTGTTTTTTCTACATATTTATAAAATTCTAAAACAATATGTTTGATTTACTTTTTGATTGATACACTGTTTCTGTCTTTTGCAGTTGTTTCCAGGACAATGTGGAGATTCATGTGGCTCATGTTCAAAGTGGAATGAGTCAGATGGGTAATTTACATGCCTTTGCCGCCGAACAACAACTTTACTCGTAATACTGACCTACAAGGAATGCTTGAATGTACACAAACCAGCACCTCAAAAGCATTTCCTAATTCTGTTATTTCTTTGTTTTTATAATTTTGCAGTGAGTATTGTATTACTTAGCCTGCTATCTTCTTTTTGATGGTTGTCTGGAGATTATTATCTGGTTTAAAATGATTGGGTTATACTATTGTTATGAAGCTAATGCTTGTTTGACTGTTATGTTACTTATTCAATTTATATACTGTAGAATACTTTATTTTCGCTTGGAATTTATTTTCGCTATTTTCGCTGAAGGGATGATTTCGTGAAAATAAAATCCAGCGAATATACTTTTTTTCCTATATTTCACATTAAACTCATGAAAAATCAGTGAAAATAAATTCCAAGCAAAACGCCCAAAAAGCCTTTTCAGCGAAAATTAATTCCAGCGAAAATAAAGTATTCCACAGTATTTGTTTTGCAGCTACAGGTCTGGTGAAAGTTAATCAGATAATATTTTCTTGACAAGCATATCACAACCGTTGGCCAGTTAGTTGACGATGCGGATGTTTTGATGTCATTTCATTTATCTGCATGTATCGTCTTCCTTTGATATTGTATACAGTTATTCCACTGTATTTTAATCAAGAAAATCAAATGACCTGCTGGGCTTGTATATAGTTATGATTTTATTTTTTAAATACTGGTATGTACGCTTGATGTTTTGAAAGCATACGTGTTGAGGTCTTCTCCACAATGCAATACATATGAGAAATCATGTGATGGTGGGACTAAGAATTTTTTTAAATGACTAGTGTGATGCTTGTTTTATTTATTTGCACTCTATTTGTGTATCATATTTGCTTTTATTACAGAGGGTAGAGTCATAAGAATAGTGTAGTAGTTGGGCTAAATCATGTACTCAAAATTATATATGGAGGCTGAGTTTCATTTGTTATCACAAATTGTTTTAATGTGTTGCCTTCCTCAAGCCAGAATTCATGTTTTGTTTGATGGTTGATGAAATCAATGCTGCTTTAAGTTTCACAAATTTGAAATATTTATTGTAGGCAATTTTTCCGTTGAAGGAGTGTCTCATTTCAACTCTCTAATACCTTGGAAATAAACATTTGACACTGTTAGTGTGTGTAGCACCACAGATTAATCACAATATTTTTATACAAGGGACAAGTTCTTTTTGACATTTTGTAATCAAACATTTTTGAAGTAATTGAATTTTCATTGGCTGCTTATTGAATTGAATCAGGCAGCTTATTGTGTTATTAGAATGTTACTGTATTGAAGTCAGTAGCAGAATGCAATGTACATGTGCACTGCCATTTGTGCAATTCATTAGATTGATTAAAAGTGTCAAACTTTGAAATTATCGTCTCAATGATTATGGTTTCCAGATTTGATTTCCAGTCTGTGTCTGCTGGTGCGTATATAGTTACTGTTATACTGCCCTCAATGATACTTACTATATGCAGGGACACCAATGGCTCGATTCGCACCCTAAACAGAGTCGCAGTAGTGTAACAGCAAGCAACAGTTAAGTGTATCGTGACTACCAAAGAAAAGTCTACTGGCCAGAAGCAACATTACAAAACATTTCCCTAGAAAGCCATTGTATGTGTTTTGTTCTTATTCAAACAAACATTTGCAGTCATATATTATCTATATATGCCAGATCATCAAATTTCACTCTGGTTTGGTTTTAGTTTGTACCCCGGTATATAGAGTATTTCTGAACTTTTTCTCATTTTCCTGCTACAACTTCAACTTGTCATCTTGTTACCTACCAGCTGTTTCTGTTCTAGAGAGGTCATCACCATTCCATAATTTTGACCACCTGTTAGCACTTGCCACATGGCAACATAACTGCCTCTGTTTTACAACATTTTAACCTCAACTAACTCTAAGTCCTCAGCAACATTGAAACTTCAACTGCTTTAAAGTTTGTAGTGGGGATTTATTGCCAAAAATATCACGGCTTGTCTCTTGATTACTCCAGCTGTATGTATCACGTCTGATCTCTACAGGTTGTTGACTTATTATTGCTAGGAAAGGATTGACCAGCTTTATTTGTCCAAGAAAAGTGTTCCGCTCGGAATGTGTCTGAACCCCTCATTTAATCACAGGGAGCCCAAGGACTATGATCAACTTTTTAGTCCAGGGACAACAGCTTTATATACATGTAATTAATACTGTTGTGTCAAGAACAACCACGACAAAAAATCAATCACGAGATTTATTGTTATTCAGAAAATAAATGTTTCTCAGTCCTATACTGACACGAAGTGCGAAATAGTTAATAATCGCGTAATTTGATCATGGATGTGGTTCAAATGTGTCGACCATATAATTTATTCATTTTGTGTCAGTGTGCCACTGCCTAACTCGATAATATTTAGCTGTGACGTCATCGGGACTGAGAAGTGTACCCCATTCCCGCACTAGGGGATTCGCCGTCAGAATGACAAGCCCCGATGCAACCTACTCATCACACGGGCGCTTGCAACAGGATTTATGGTTAAGGGAGATAGGCTTGGGTAGGGTTATATACTAGTATAGAAATAAAGTCTTGTAGTAATGTCTTTTGCATTTTTGGACATTACCTTACTTTTGTTTGCGTACGTTCCAAATAAAATAGCATATCATGTCATCATACTAGACGCCTGGAGCCGGAAACAGCCACTGGTGGCGCTGTATACAATAGAGACCTATGCTTGGGGCGGACATCAGGGTATTTTCACCGCCGAGCAACCATCACGGTGAAAACAAAAATGTACTTCGGGATAGTTGTTGAGACTCTTATGAACAGTGTATTAAACAAGACTAATCCTACATATGCAACATATATAAATTGTGTTGCTTTGAATTAATTCAAAGTTGCGTTTGAAGTTTTACTGCTCAGCTTAGTGTTCGCGGTAAATTGCAAAATACAATCAGGCCAAGGTATGATGAGTCACGGGCGCTTGCAACAGGATTTATGGTTAAGGGAGATAGGCTTGGGTAGGGTTATATACTAGTATAGAAATAAAGGCAAAAGACATTTACCGCGAACACAGCTGAGCAGTAAAACCACAGGGAGCCCAGGAACTATAATCAACTGTAATACGCAGTCTCTATGAGCGGGGGGGGGGGGGTATCGGCTGGTATCTAGTGTAAGAAATAGACAAGGGATGAAGGCTCCAGCCAGCTCACATTTTTTAAACTCGAAAAAAATAAAAAATAAAATCTAAAAAAAAATACCAGGTTGAAGAATATTAGTTGCTCCTTCGAATTTCGCCAAAGCCTTACCTACATTTTACCGATATCTGCAGAATAAATCAAGAAAACTACACAAATTGACTCCATTTAGGAATTTCTAACGGTAAGTCCGTACGCACGACACCGTTGGAGGCGTGGCCTGTTCAGCATTTGTCAACAACCAATCACAAGACTGGTTACGAACCAGTTGAGCAAGGCTAACCGAGTCGTGACCTATTGGTCGGTAAACTTTCTATCGCGCAACCACGTGACATACACGATTATGAATGGTATTACCGCACGGTGTTGTAGAGGGAGGAATGTCCGAACGGAACAACACCGTGCAGGCCGACGATGGTCCGCGCCAAGCATAGGTCTCTATTGTATACAGCGCCACCAGTGGCTGTTTCCGGCTCCAGGCGTCTAGTATGATGACATGATATGCTATTTTATTTGGAACGTACACAAACAAAAGTAAGGTAATGTCCAAAAGTGCAAAAGACATTACTACAAGACTGAAACAGATATAAAATACAAAAAACAAACAAATCAAAATTGGAAAGGATAAACTTGACATAACTGGAGAGAATATCAATGAATATATCATCAATACTTATATTTAAAAAAAAAAAGAGAGCTGAGAAAAATGAGTATATAACTCGTCTGAGGGCGTCATCTTAGACAGTCAGAGGTCAAAAGATCGTATGTAAATTATAAAACATATCTGGTCTGGTTTTTCTTTCATCTCGCTTTATGTGTACGATGTAACCAAGGCCAATTGGAGACCACGGATGTACGTCGTATAGCTCGCGTTATTGTAATTTAAGCAGTCAAACGTAAGTGAAGTGCAGTGAAGCGGTGGCACTGTGCATTTAGCGGTAATCTGTAGTGGTGGCACGCAAGCCGAATAAGACACCCGGGTCTTCTCAGTATTAAATCAGATTTCCTTGAATTTTACAACGGGGTTTTATTTTATGCTATTGTTTCCAAACTCTGCTCGAAACATAAGTTTCAGAAAAATATACTTTGCATAAAAATGTGTCAAACATTCATGCAAAGGTCTCGTCATATCTTAAAACTTTGGGTGGGCGTATTAGACTGTTCACGTGAGAAATATTTTTTAATGGCCACATACGATCCCCTCTATCACACGTGAGACTATTTTCTAAGGTTCACTATCCTGCAACGTTGGGGGGGGGGTATATGAAGGTTTTCTGCCTTGAATGTAATAATTACGTGAAGTAAAATTTTCCATGTGTTTGTTCATATGTATTTTAATTCATGTTAATCATAGGCAGTTTATCACTTTGTCCCAAAGTATATCTAAAAACAATCAAATTAATAGTAAAGTTAAGAATACTGCCCACCGTCTAAAAATTGAATTAAAAGGTCAGAGTGTGATATATCAATGTTGATGTATGATGTACAAACAAGTATTATGAATACATTTTGCATTTTATTGCAAATGCTGAAATACTAAATTTCAACAAACCTAAATATAACTTCCATGAGTAAGCACTGATGCTGACAAACCCAGTAAAAATCCTAAAAATATAAGATAAACTAAATAAGCAGGTACAAATATTTTTAAAATCATTCTCTATGTGAGAAGAATATTATGGAAGTAATATTTAATAAAAATTTTGATATTTTTAAACTTCACAACATATTTGTCTCGAGTAATTGTCACCTAATCTTTTTTGATCTCTTACTGTAATACATCAACTTCCAATTCCCAAATTTGGTGTACAGCAAATAGATACAGGCAGTAATTAACAGGCTGCTATACAAAACGAAATGACGTAATATAGTTTCAAATTTTCTTTCTACCTTTAATACAGGTTTATGATGGCTACATTGAAATTCTTTAATTTATCAAATCGGTTATTACAATGCTCTAAGTTGATGGCGTTACAGAGTAGAGAGTTTGGTAATATCCTAACAGACAAGGCATACGTGGGAGGAGCATGGATATCGGCAGCAAGCGGTAAAACATTCCCAGTCTTCAATCCTTTCAATGGAGAGGAGATTGGTAGAGTGCCAGATATGGATCAAATTGATGTTCAC